TAATATTTATAATTAGTGTCCAAACATGCAATGTGATAGGACTTAAAAGTTTTAGTCCTATTTAAACAGGGTCTAAGGGCCTGTTTGGGGAACTTAAGATTCTGAGAAGCAGCTGGTTAGAAGGCAGCTTATGAGAATCTAAAAAAACTGGGTTTCTTAGCTTCTAGCTTCTAGTTCATTTTCTGGTTTCTACAACAACAGATTCTTAGAATCTAGACCAAAAACTGGACTGTTTAGGGGAGCTTCTGATTATGCGAGAAGCTGCAGCAGCTAGAGACTAAAAGCTCCCCCAAACAGGCCCTAAGTTAGGTTTTTGCTCGAATATAGTCTTTAGGGTTTTATATCCATCCTAGATTTTATTTTTATCTATAGAGTAAGATTTGTTTGGAGTATTTTCTTCTCTATCTTTCTTTCAATGGCTACCTCATTAGAGATCTAGAAGAAGTTGTTTGTTGGATTGAGGATGATCTAATTAGCTGTGTATGCTTTAGAATCCGAGGTACTGATTTGTTCGGTAATGTCAGTTTACTTAGCTGTTGGAAGAATGAAAAATGGTGATTGATACTCTTTCATATCGTTTTGCTTATGCCGGTGTTTTTCAGCGTTATACTGCTCTCGTATACTCATTTCTCTTATGACAATATAAGATATAGAGCCTCTTTATTTTGTTTCTTTGGGTTTCTGATTTTTTTTTAACAAGAAGGTTGTAATATCTTCTATTATTTGATATATTTGGAAAGAATATCATAAGATTAATGTGAAAATTTCAAAAAATAAAGCATAAATAATCAAATACTCTAAAAAAAAGGGGGGAAAAGAGCACAAAGTGCTCGTGCCAGTCGCGTGGACCTTGCAATTTCCACGCCACGTGACCAATGGCACCAGCCAGTACTGTGGCCAGTCACTAGCAGTAGTAGCTCGTGCGCGTGGCTCTGACAGGCCCAGATCTGTTCCGGGTCAGGTGGGACCCACCTACCAGCGAGACACCACGTCACCTGTGGGCCCCACCGTTTAGCAGGTCGTTGGCCCGTCCGCGAGCCGCGCGTTGTCTGTCACGTGGGACACAACACGCGCGAGCTGCTAGTGACAGGCCCGCAGCGACCTTCTTCTCGCTGACAGGTGGACCCCACGTGGACCAAGCGACGTAGGCCCCATTTGTCAGTGTAAGTGGCTGAAAAGGGCCGGAGCGCGAGAGGCTTACCAGAGTCCAGAGGAGCTCACTGCGAATATTCTCCACGTCGCATGATCCTTCCAGAAAGAAAAGATCCCACGCGGGGGGAGCGGAGCCGTCGGATCGGTGGTGGACGGCTGAGATTAGGGAGACTGTAGTAGCGTGGACCTTTTTGCTTGCGGTCTCCAGCGTGGTGGGGGATGGGGAGGGAATAGTCGGAAAATTGGAGCATCTTATCCGGATAACCAAGAGGGGCCAAGTAGCCAAGCGTTCGCTGACAACTCGCTGATAAATCTTAATTTAGATATGGATTTCAACATGGAAAACAAAAGAATGTCACTCTGTCATAAGCTTAGCTTAATTTCTATATATAAAATTTATATTAAAAAACTTCCTCGGACAACCCCGGACAATAGACTAGATATGTTTCGCGCGACAACTAAACTTTCACCCATTACACTTATCCTAAATGAATATGTATTCGCTCGCTCTCATATGTGGAACAACAAGATTTAAGCATGTACACATTATGTATTGTTGCCACCATTTTCGTAGGGATCTTTTTTAGGAGAGAGATCTTTCTTTTCTTTTACAAGTATATAGAGATTTAAGGGCCCGTTTAGATTGGTGCCATTTTAAACGATACCATTGTTTGGTAAAATTGACAAATATATGGCTGCATTTAGTTTGTTACCAAATTTTGATAACGCATAGGGAATTTTGACACAACATATTTATTCCATCCTACCAAAATTTGGCAATCCTGTCAACTTGCCAATAATTTGGCATAAGGTTGATTTTGGCCTTAATCATAATATTCCCTAAGTTTTTTTTTAAGAAAGACTAGAATATCCATGTGCGTGCTCTCCCTCTTTGAAAGGGCTATCTCGCAAACGTTCATGTGACGAACTTGCTTGAGTACCCTGCGCTTTCCTTCTTCACGTATTTTTTTCTTTTCTTTGATTTTACACATATAAGTACATAGACAAATTAAATCTCTTATATTTTAGGACATAATTAGTACTATATATATGAGCTAAATGCATGTGCTTTACTATGGTAAAAAAAAAGTAGAAGTGTGTTCCCCATCTTTGTGCTATAGGGAATATTAATCTTAATCTAATTTTGTATGTGGCTTTCCATTTAGATTTGATATTTTTAATATTAAGAAGTTTAAGGGCTAACTGCAAAATTTATAATGTAAGTAGATGGGGTGACAGATTTACTGTCATCACCAATACCTTCTTTAAAGGGTATAGATATATAACCTTTTAATGTAGAGATATTCTACTTAGGAAAACTTTTTCTATGTTGGTGTCGAACATATAATCTTTTGGTGTACAAAGTTATCGTATATTTTGATACCCAGGTAATACATGTGCTGTATAAAATTTCTGAGACAGCTCGAGGTGCTGTGCTGGAGACATCTAGGAGGTGGGCTGAACTGAGCACTGTTTAGCAGGAAACGTTCACCCATTAGATTTCTCATGGATAACCTCAAGTACGAGTATCTAGTACGGTGCCATTTTTCATTTCTTTTTCTTTTATTTTATTTGGGAGATTTGTGATCAACAAAGAGTTATATATTTTTGTTTGTTTAATTTAACACGAAATGCTTAATACTTGCTTGACCACGCATCGTTCCATAGCTGCTTTGACCAGGCATAGTGAATTTAAAGATGTGTGTCAATGGATCCGAGCTGTACTTAACATGCTCATTGATATCTTGTCAACATCTTACCAACGCTTGTTTGCATTTAAGTATATTTTGAAGTGGTAGATCAAAGATATGCTAATGGTCTGTGTGGATTTTTTAGAAGTCCACAAGGATCTAATTCAGCCCTTATCGATCACCCTTCGACAGGGAATGCAATGCAAGTAGATTGTAATTACTTTGATTAATTTTTTAGCAAAACATCAAATTGGCACATAGTGCATGGATGGCAGATATATAGTAATGTAACCATATTGTATGACTAGGATGTAGTAGGAGTCTTATCTTTTTGTTTTTTTTATCGACACTATTATTTACTCATGCTTGGTTATCTAAAAATGCCGACACTTGAATTAACTATATATCCATCATTTTAGTTACTTTGACTAGGCATATAGCTAACAAAATTTAAGACGTGAATCGATGGGAACTGTACTCTTTAGCCTCATTCATTTACTCCTATAAGCACATCCTACCCGCCTACCTCCATTGAAAAAATAATTAATACGTGAACCTATGCTAAGTGTAAAATTTAAATTTAGGTGGACAAATTTCACCACAAGATAAAAACTTAATCAGTTGCGCTACGCCCACTTCACTAGTCCCACTCTTTTTTTATCTAAGATAATACTATTTCCAGTTTATACAGGCTAGGATTTACCATGGTAGGTCAAAGAAAAAAAAACACTCTCTCTCTAGAAAAGCAGAATAAGAAACAACGTGGACATGTTAAATGATGTTGATTTGTTTAATGGCCACAAGGATACAGTGATAAATTAAACTCGAGAAGGATGCACATCTCACTCAACATACATAGAGATTGTGAGCAGATGAAATATTTTTGAGTAAAACAACAAGTTGGCACATATATTGTAAGATCATAAACACAATCATATTGTATGACCTTCCAAAACCTAGAGAAAACACATGTAACATGGTTCTGCATTATATCTTAACCATGTGGTAGCTTCTCCTTGGCACAATGACAAACTATATATTCTATTGCGCTTCTACATCCCAGCAAATTAGTAGGTGGTAGAACTATGCATGGTAAACATGAGAAACTTCATCCTCGGTATATACTTAGACTTATGTTTAGGATTGAAACTCTGACTACCAGTTTACATCGAATAAAATTATAGTACCTAGTAAGCCTATGATTTTATTATGGTACTTTTCAAGACAAATCTACATGTGCAATTTGTGCTTCTTAAGAGAGACTTCGTTCTTCGTTGTTTAGATTGAATGAGAGAGATAAGATGTAGTCAAGAATTGAATTATGTTGGTGTAATCTCGGATTGTTTTGTTTTTTTATTCTCCCCTCCTGTGTTCCTTATTTTTTTTAAAAAAACTCTCTGTCTATTTTTTTTTAAAAAATACTCTTTCTGTATCAAAAAGAATTTATGAAGATAAATCTCGACATACATATAGATTTATTTTCAGAAGTGTAATAGAGGGAGTATGCGTTAAAGAAGTTACTCTCTCCGTTTCAGGTTATAAAATGTTTTGATTTTGATCAAAGTCAAACTGCTTCAAGTTTAACTAAGTTTATAGATAAATATAATAATATCTATATTACCAAATTAGTTTTATTAAATTAATAATTAAATATATTTTTATAATAAATTTATCTTGGATTGAAAATGTTACATTTTTTCTATAAGTTTGATCAAACTTGAAGCAGTTTAACTTTAACTAAAGTTAAAATATCTTATAATCTAAAAGGGAGGGAATGCTAGGGAAAAAGCCTAGCCGAAAACAGAAAGACAAAGGAATAGCTGTGGGACGAAGCAAAGAGGATATCAGTAAAACAAGACATCATTTCTGCCAGGAATATATCGTACCAAAAAAGGCAAAAAAGAAAAGAACTCCAACGTGATCCGTCATAGAGAGGAAGATTTTTTTTTTATCACTCGAGTGGTGTTTGGTGCATCTAGCATTCTAGCAGAGTGTCGTGAGGTCAAGACTAGCAAAGGAAAGAAACCCCAAGCCCCGGAGTAATTAAGCGAGTGATTAATTAATTTAATTAACCCAACGGCAAAACAAACCTCGCCTCACCTCCCCTCCCTCCCTTTCCTAATTCCTCCGCCCCCGCGCCGCCTCGCCGCCGCCTCCCCCCCACCTCCCGCTTCAGATCCCCCCAAAACCCTAGCCCCCCCACCCGCCGCCGCCATGGTCGGCCCGTCTGGCGCCGCCGCGGCGTCCTCGTCGTCGTCGTCCACCTCCTCGACGACGTCGTCCTCGTCGCAGTCGTCGTCGACTCGTGGAGGCTACATGCTGAGCGACCGGTTCTACAGCCCGCCTCACGTCCGCCGCCAGCAGATGCTGCTGCTGCAACAGCAGCAGCTGCTGCAGGGGCAACGGCCGCCTTCGCTCTCCCCCTCGCCGGCGACGGCGCCCAGGGCGGCGAGGCAGAAGCCGCTGCCGTCGCCGTCGCCGCCGCCGCCGCCTCCCGCACCGGCGGAGGCGGCGAGGCAGAAGGAGGTAGAGAGGCGGGTGGACGCGGTTGTTCAGTCAAAGCCGTCGGTGTCGCCGTTGCCGTCCTCCGCGGACGTGAAGAGGCCGCCGGCGGCGGAATCGGCGCCGGAGCCAGCGCGGGCGGCGGAGGAGGAGGCGGCGGGGAATCTGGAGAGGTTCCTCAGCTCCACTACGCCATCCGTGCCCGTCCAGTACTTGCCCAAGGTGAGAGGCTCTCCTCTGACTTTTTTTTTTCTCAGTCATTGGCGAAAAAAATGGTCGCGGACTGGAACAGTGCGATGCCCGTTTAATTTTACTGCATTAGGAGATGTTTCGATAATCAGTTCTAGCAGAGTAGGTTCGGATTGTTAAATTTTCGCCCATCGGTTCGGCTGTATTTTATTTCGTTATGATTGGGGAAAGTTTGTGAATCGTGGTTACAAAGATAGTTCTCGACTATCTTTACCTAGTTTCAAGTAAAGTTGAGAGAACGTACGGTTAATTTAAGATAGTTTGGTTATGTTATTCACCTGCTTCAGATATGTAAGGTTCTTGTACTGTTATCATAATGGTAAATCGGTGGTGCATTGTAACCCCACATTATTTATTGATGATACATCATTTCTGGAGCTTTCAACACTGTAGAAATGTGCTTGTCTTGGGTGACTTTTTGTAGAACAAATTTGCTGGAAACTGGTAACAACTGTAAGGGCAAAATTTCAGTTTGTCATATTATACAAAAGATGGGCAACCCTTCTGAATCAGATTCTAAGGGATCAGGTTGAGCTCTCAATTGTGGTGATTCATGTTACCAAAATAACCAGCCTATTTGTTGTATTCAGTTTGCCACTTATGGTTTTGGGAGAGGCATAGTTGGTGTTATGAGGACAAAATGCTGTTACATTGCTATAAAAAATATGAAAAAGAAAAACACATCAATGATGGTTGTCAATTTCTGCCTTAGTTTGGTCATACTGAAGGATTATGTACTGTTGTGCAGACAAGCATGAGAGGGTGGAGGAGTGGTGATGCTATGAATTCATCACCATATTTCTGCCTTGGAGATCTCTGGGAAGCTTTCAATGAGTGGAGTTTTTATGGGGCCGGCGTCCCCGTTGTGTTAAATGGCAAAGATTCCGTCATACAGTATTATGTGCCGTATCTCTCTGCCATACAACTCTATGCAGACCCATCAAAGCATTCAACAAGAATCAGGTAGAAATTTATTCTAGTTTCTCTTGGCCCTTAGATTACTTATTTTTCTCCATTCTGCTTTGTGCATTGCCAGGAATTATAAAAGCTGCAAAGTAAGCTAGTGCAGTAAGCACTGGAGGTTCTTTTTTTTTTATCATTCTTCTGTCTCTGGTTATTTAATATGGGACTGCTAAAGAAAAAAAAGGTTTTGATTTGGTTAAACAACCAATAGAACTGAGAGTTGAGAGGATGTACTTATGGATTCATTATTATTATTTTGCCTTCCTTTGACTATGCAAGTCTATTGGTTCTTCTTTTGTGTTGGGGATGCAAGTCACAACTCATTTGCGTACAGAAAGCTAGTGCTTTGAATATCCTTGTAGAGAAATGTGATTGCTAGCTGTAGCCTGTAGGCATGGCTGCTTGCTGCCACCTTTTCTGTTCATTATTTGAATTGCTCAACCAAAATATTTCCTCTTGAGTTCACACAATTTTGTCTTTTGTTTAGAGATTGTTTTCCTCATTGAGGTAATTGTGGTCATCAGGATCTTATCTTATTACATCTGCTAGAATAGAAATGAACTAGTTAAGGACTTTCGTCATTGCCTAATAATCACCAGTGGCTTGTTAATTTGTAATTCTCTCTACAGGATTATATGTTTGACTACAATCAGCATTGAGTTGACAGTCATATGTTTGTAGGCTACCGTAGTTATTCCAAGAAACTTAGTTTTTATTTACCTGTGTGATTTTGAGCTGTCACTGGTGTATACTCTATCAACAATACATTATTTTCAATTATGTCTATTGATTAGTATCTGAAGTTCCAGTTGTTTGCCAGTTTTCTTGTTGGATTGTGGGGGAACTATAGCTACCACACTGTCAGTATTATTGATTGATTTGCGTAGTATTTGTTAGAACCAGTACAAAATCTGAATCTTACTACAACTTGTAGAACTGTAAACCTGCATTCAAGGAAAAAAACAAAAGAAACGCTGGTGGTGATAACTGCTGTATAACATTGTTCCAAATAAAGACACTATCAAAGAGTTATATGGAGATGAAAAAAATGACGAAGAGAGCATTGGTACACATTCCAGTGTGGATTTATCATTTTTTTTCTTCTGCGATTTTCATAGTCCAGAACTTCTCTTAGTTAATTTTCTCGCTTACTTAAGGCATCCTTGGGAGGAAAGTGATGAGGAATCTATGGATACTAGCAGCGAAAGTAGCAGTGGGACTGATGCTGACCAATTAAGAGGTTTGGAGAATGGTGGCTTTCAAAGGGAGGACAGTGAATCGCATTTTCCATCTACTCGTCCATTATTCGAGTATCTTGAGAAGGATCCTCCTTATGGTAGAGAACCTTTGACAGACAAGGCAAGGGCCCCTCCCTCATTTGACAAAAGAAAATTTGCCATATGTATGTACTGCTTTTATGCTTATTATAAATGTCCCATCAGGTATCAATTCTTGCAAGTAAATTTCCGGAGTTAATGTCAATCAGAAGCTGTGATCTTCTGCCAACTAGCTGGATGTCTGTTGCATGGTATATCTCTTATACTTCAGATTCATATAATTTACAGCGTCATTTTATCAGTAGCATCTGTGGTCTTGGTATGCTTTAGAGATTTTGTATTCTTTTGAAGGATAATTTCCACATTATATCATTATAGTATGTGCAGACAATCATATACCTTGTGTAAACTGCACCAAGCTGACCTTTTTGTTTTATTAGCACCATCAATATTTTCACAAGATTTAGCCCCATATTAGTGCTCGATCTACTTCTCCTATATATTTGAATGAAATAGAATGCTGATTTTGCAATAGCCAGATTCATAACACTTTCTGTGCTGGCCCAAACAGAGGATGCATACCCCGCTTTTGTGCTGGTGTATCAGCTGATACAAAAGGGCACTCACTAAGCTAAGGTCTTGCTCGGTGGTGCTAGCTGTGGCTGCACTACCGCAGCTAGCTAAGCCGAGCAGGGCCTAAATATCAGTTAATAAACTTGTGTAGAAGAGCAATACTGGAAATGAAGTATTGCTATGATTCTACATGTTGGTTTCATCCTGGGCCTTACAATTGCAGGTACCCTATATATAGAATCCCTACTGGACCAACGCTCAAGGATCTCGATGCATGTTTCTTGACATTTCACTACCTATCAACAGCGACACGTTCCAGGGGTAAGTACCATCTTATGCCAGTCGGCATACCGAATACATTAATACAATGTCATTTCTTGTGGTCTCAGTTCATTTCTTTGTAGCTTCATCTTTTCTTCTCAATAATAATTCATGTGTCTCATGCAGATGCTGACCCCAGTACACCAGCCTGCCCCCCTTCTGGGGGCTTTAACAGCTGCATGAATGCAGCTGGTAAGCTAACATTGCCCGTCTTTGGACTGGCACCGTACAAGTTGCGGAGTTCTGTTTGGTCGTCGAATGGGCCTCATGAGCAGCAGCTCGCAGCCTCATTGATGCAGGCAGCGGACGACTGGCTCCGGGACCGTCAAGTGCATCATCCAGACTTCCGGTTCTTCCTTACGCACTACAACACCGTATGGAGATAACAAGGTGCTTACCCCTTTCTTTGTAAATGGTTGTGAGCGTTTTTTCTGTTGTCGGCTGAGCCGGGCTACCTGTAACACTATATGTTTGACGTACAGTCGTGTGACGTAACGTTTGCACTACTGAACTTCTGTATCAGTCATCGGCTTATCGCCAGACAGCTAATTTGTAACTTCTCCAGTAAACCTTGTGTTGTAGGTAAACTTTTGTGAGGAAGAATAAATATCATAGTGGAGAAATGTAGAACAAAGGAAACTAGCTTCTGCAAATTTTTGTTGTTTAGATTTGAAAAGAAAAAAAAAAGAACTTGTGTATGTTGACTGTTTTGACGTATGGTGTGTTGTACCAGTTCTTTTTGGAGCTATGCTTCTTATTTCGGCTAAATCACTTGATCTTTTAATGGGTCTAACTTGAGAGACATTACTAGAAAAACGGGGTTTTTGCAAACGGACCAAAAAAAATTTTCTAGGCGATCTTCATCTTGTCTGTACTTCATTAGCAAACGCAACATCCACCCGCCTACAAAGACCACCTCACTGAATTAAAAACATCCCCCCGACCTGCTGCTACCCTCCCTTGGCCGCTGGCTCTCCTCCCCCTCCCCCTCTAGCCCCTCTGTCCATTGCTGCCGGCGGCGGCAGCCGGCTCCCCTCCTCCGGCCGGATCTAGGAGGGAGGGGAGTGCCACCGGCTCTCCTCCCAGTCGCCACGCACCTCCGCCGCCGGCCGGATCTGAGAGGGACGGGAGGGTCGGTGGCGCTGTCTCTCCTTCTAGTCGCCGCACGTTGTCAGCCATGGCCGCCGCCTCCGCCCTCTGCGCCACCGGTCGGATCTAGGAGAGGGAGGGAGGGGAGTGCCCTCCGTGCCGAAGTAGTGAAGGAGTGAAGGGGGAGGGGAGGGGAGGGGAAGAGAGTGGATCTGGGAGGGAGGAGTGAGAGAGTGAAGAGGGGAAAGGAGGGGAAGGGAGTGGATAGAGATAAGGGGTGGGTGGCGGATATATGAGGCCGAATGGATTTTTGCAGGTGGAGGACCTAAATTTCGGCCTGTGAAAATCTATTTTCGTAATGCGAAAATCTATTTTCGTAGGCGGACAACGATCTTGTCCTATGGTAGGGATGAAAATAGAGCGGATAGTTTCCGTCCGCTTCGAACAAAAACGGATACGGATACCTTTCGAATCGGATAATTCTCGGATAGTTCGGATACGGATACGAATACAGATATGGTCTCAGGGTTTCCGTCGGATACGGATAATAATTCAGATATCCGGTGAATAGTGCTATTCAGATATTCGCAGAAGCCATGAGACATACCCTATTTCTTTCTAATTCTAGAACCTTCAATATAGATTTATATATTTTAATAGTAGTTTATCTCTTAACACTAGTCCATACTATTAATATTATTTAAATTTTAAAAAATATTTATAAATTATACTTCATTTTATATAAAATGAGTTAATTATATATGTTGATATTTGTTTCTATTAGAAGTTGAGTTGGTTTTCGTGTTCCGAGAAAAAATTGTTTCCGTATTCGTGTCCAATCATATTCGTCTTATTCATATTCGAGATAATCCGTATTTGTTTCTGTATTCGAGCTATCCGTATTCGTTTTTATATCCGGTAAAAAAAAATACTAAAACGAATATGGCATGAGTATTATCCGTCCGTATCCACTCCGTTTTCATCCCTATCCCATGGTTGTCATTTTCGCAGGTGGCCATTTAGCTCCGAGAGGCTTACCCGCCTAAAAAAATACCATCATTTAGAAAAATGGTTTTTCTAGTAGTCTAGTAGTGAGAATAATATTTAGTTGGTGCCTAATTTTCTCCATTCATCGTAATTAGCTCTTCCTTATCCTCGGATTCGGATCCTCTGCATTACTGCAGAGGGTCACTGTAGCTACAGTAATATGTGAGGGGAACAGTGTTTTAATTTTCTCCTCTACAGCAGAGGATCCGAATTGCTGTAGCGTCTCATCTGATCCATCCATCTTCTATCGGACGCTTCACAGTACTCCTAATGCCAGGCACTGTAGCTACCTCTGAATTTTCTCCTCCACAGCAGAGGATCCGAATTGCCTCAGGGTATGTTTGAGATAAAGAAAAAAAAAGATAAGAAATACACAAAATGAGATAAGGAGACCGACCAGAGGGGGGTGAATGGGCGGTTTTAAAACTTTTGGCTAAAACCAAGTTTTGTATGTGGAGGCGTAAATCAAAATGGTTTTGCACAATTCAAAACCTAAACAACTAGTGTCAACTAAGTGCACAAAGAAGCTAGCCTATGTTGATATTGGCACAAATAAAATCTACTATGTAAAGTTGCTCAAAGTAAACTTGCACAAAATAAAAGAGACAAATGACAAAGGATTTTTCTATCGATGTTCGGAAGCTTGCCAACTTCCTACATCACCATTGGGGCGAGCCCAACTTCACCGCTCAAACCACGAAGCCACCACAAGTCCTCTTTGTCAAGGGGTGGGCAAGGTGGGAGCCGGTACCGAAGTGGTCTCCCAAGACTCTATCACTATGGTTGTTCTTACTCCACTGCGGAGATGGCGAACACCGAGCCACTCACAATCAACACCAGGCCTCCTCTACAACTCTTTTGGAGAGGTCACCGGACAACTCCTTCAAACCGTCTAGAAGGTGGCAACCTCCAAGAGTAACAAGTCTAAAATGTTTGCCAAGTATGATCAAGTGCCACACTAGCTCTAACAATGAAGCAATGCACTTCTGGTAAAAAAAAAGAAGCAATGCACTTGGGTTTTCTTTTTTTTGACCTTGAATACTGCCAAGGCTTTGCCTAGCAGTGTGATTTCATTAAAAGAGAATATTTACAAGAGTTTAATTACAACAAACCTTGAAATCTATAATGTTTGTAACCAATTTGCTTCAGTGGTTCCTTCATTCTACACATATGTAGAAGAATTTCTTTCGTAAAAAGAAACTTCCAGGACTGAAAGGAGGGGGCCACATTTTCAAATACAAGTCCATTCCTCTGCTTCCATATGTGCCAAGCAACTATGAAAAAGATTTCCAGGAAGCCCTTCCCACCCAGAGAACCAAATCTCCACCTTGCAAAAGTGACCATTTGAAAGAACTCCAAATTCAGATTCCAAATAATGCCCAAGTATTGCCAGCACCTAGCACTGAAGGGACATGCAACCGAGTTTCCTTATGTCCTCCATCACATAAGACACATGTGAGATCATCATCTTCCTTTGCGTAATGTCTTCGGTTCAGCATGCCTCTTGTATTAAGCCTATCACTAAAAAGCAGCCAAGCAAAGACCTTTACTTTCATAACACACTTCGTTTTCCATAGCCATACAAAAGGTCTTGGTGGATTCAAAGCCAAGAAATTAAGCTTGTAAAAGTGCTTTGCAGTGTAGACATCTGAAATCCAAATAAAACTCCAGCTATCCCCCTGCACCTCATTCAAGTTCAGAGAATTGAGCTGCTCCTCCAGCTGCAAAAACTCCACATAGGCCTGTGTAGACAGAGGCAGAAGAAAAGAGTCCTCCAAAGACCTTGAACACATATTGCTTATTGATTCCTCCTTCTGCAAAGCTAGATGACATAAATTTGGATATTTATCACTTAGGAGTTCATCATTCCATAGATATTCCCAGAAGAGGGCTGAATTACCAGACTGAATGGTGCACTAAGCAATGCCTCTGAAAATGTCTAACAAAACCAAGATGTCTCTCAGCCAAAAAGAACCTTTATTGAGTATGGGACCTTTGCTGCGTAATATGAATTCTAAACTAGGTTCACCCAAGGCAGATTGGCACTTTTATATAACTTCACCGAGTGCTTCATTAGGAGAGTTGTGTTCTGTACTCTCAGGTTAACTATGCCCAGTCCTCCTTTGTCCTTTGGGGCCTGCAAACCATATCCCAGGATGCTAGTGATTTTCTTGTAGAACCTTGGTTATTACCCTTCCAAAGGCAGTTTTTTCTTGCAGTATCAATGGCCTTAACCACAGTAACAGGCAACTGCAAGGGACACATATAATAGGTTGGGATTGAGGACAACACTGAATTAATCAAGGTCGGCCTACCCCCCCCCCCCTGAGGAAGAAACATTGAGCTTGATGTGAGTCTTATTTCCACTCTATCAACCAAAGGGGCAAAATCAACCACTCTAGGTCTGGTAGTGCCCATGGGCAGTCCTAAATATGTGAAAAGGTAAAGTACCAATAGGACATCCCAACAATTCAGCCAGAAGTTCAGCTTTTTTAGAAGAAAGATTAAGAGGATATATGCTGGATTTACTGAAATTGACCTTGAGACCAGTTGACTGAGCAAAAGAATTGAGCAAAGCTTTGAAGCAAAAGATTTCTTTCTGTGAAGCCTTGAGCAGAACAAGGGTGTCATCAGCATACTGAATTATTGGGAAGCATGTACCATCAGCTTCATTAATTGGTTTTGACAACAACCCCAGATTAAAAGCTTTATTCACCACTCTTTAAGCAGCTTAGCACCCAAAACAAACAACAAAGGAGACAAAGGATGTCCTTGTTTGACCCCTCTTTTGCAACTGAAGGGCTTACCAGGAACTCCATTCAGGAGCACTGTAGATTGAGTTGAAGAAAAAACCATCTTAACCCATTCAAGCCATTTCACTGGGAAATCCATGAGTTGCATGACAGAGATGATAACAGAATGCTCTATTGTATTAAATGCTTTCTCAAAGTCCAACTTCAATATAATGATCTCCCTTTTGGACGGCTGGCACTGATGAATATATTCAAAGGACCAAGCAAGACAGTCCTGGATTATCCTTCCTTTGATGAAACCATACTGATTTTCACTTATTAACTTCAAAATCACACACTGCAATCTATCATCCATTAACTTTGTTATAACCTTTAAACTGATCCCCATGAGAGAAATGGGTCTGAAATCATTCACTGTCTCATGAGATGTCTTTTTTGAAACCATTGTGGGAAAGGTTGACACTCCCATTCTGCTTTTGAAGCTTTGGTAGAAAAGAGAGGCTTTATGCTCATGCAAAGTAACTACTTGCCCACTTGGGTTATCTTAACTCACTAGATAAAGTGCACAAGGGCATGAGAGCTCTTGCAAGGATTCAATATAATGCAATGGAGTGCTAAAACCTTACCATTGCTACTAGGGAGTGGGTATATATACCCACAACAACCAAAACTAGTCGGTGGGGGCGAAATCCCAACTCACAGGTGTTGGCCGGTCAGACCGCCTTGGAGTGGCCGGTCAGACCGACCTTCATTGTAATGGCTAGAAAACTAGTTTGTTATAGTGCATTTAATGCACGAGCAATGGCTAGCTGGTATGAC